CCGCGGTCGGCGCGGCGTTGCGGGGACGGGCTGCGGTGGCGGCGGCGGAGGACGACGGGCCTGCCTGTCCCGTGCTTGTTGAAACGGTTTTGTCGCTTAGCGTGCGCGGGTGAGCCCTCACCCGCCCCCTTTGTTGTTAGGGAGAAGGCGCGCGCTGCAGGCTGCGGAGCCCGCGCCTGCCTGAGGGGCGGAATCCCGTTACAAAAATCCTACGAAACGTACCAGTTCGGTAAGAACTTGGCGTTTAATGTAAACGCGAAATGCCTTAATCGAAATACCCGCAAAGGTGGTGTTGTTTTTAAAACTATTGCGAGTGCATTGGGCTGAGTTCTGGCGATTGCTGTGTTCCTCAAGACCTCCGCGACGCGCTCGACGCCCGGCTGCCGGCGGACGGGGGACCGAGGGCGCTGTTGCCGTGCGGTACTCCGGGGGACATGTCCGGCTAAAGGTGCCAGCCCTCCTCGCTAGCTGCGGGGCAGCGCTCTTGCCTTTCCCATCATGTGACCTGACCCACCTGCGTAGCGCATCGCTTCATTTTCCAAAGGCAAATACCACGTTTATTTATTTTTAAGATGTGTGTGTATGAAGGCATGCATGTTTTTGCTTTATCTGGGTTTCCCTTCTGCCTCGCTATGCTCAAAAGCTGAGCAGATACCCTTGTTTATTTTATATAGTCAGTCCAAGTGTTCCTGCTTTTCTAGCATTCAGCTGAGTCCTTCACAACGGTAGGATCTGATGTTACTTTATTGCTGCTTACGGAAAGGATTTTGTTTTAAGATGTGGGAGTTTGTGGCAATAATTTTGTGATAGTGCCGCGCTGAAATAGTAAAGGTAGGAAAGTCCTGAATAAATACCCAGTGCTGTTGACAACAGGGATTTATTGACCCGTTAATTTTAGGAGGAGATTCAGGAAAAATGCTAATTAAGTTTTGAACTTATTAGACCTAGATTTTGCAGATACCAATAAAAAGCTATTTAAAAAAAACCTTAGCGCCATAGTTCTTGAAGGAATACTGAAGAGTGGACAAGAGTTTTTCGGTATGTAAAATGATTTTTTCATACATTGTTGTTTGGTAATTTGCAGACTATAAATAATGTGACCTCTTTTCAAGACTTGTTTTTTAATATTCCTAATTCAATGGTCGTTTTCATCTTAATTTTTATGCAGATGCTTTAATTAAGTTTATTTGTTTAATTGCATGGATCCATATGATTTAAGAAAAACAAGAGCCTACGTACCTATATCACTAACGACTTACAGAAATCCATAAACAGTTGGGAATTAGGTACTGTTGTGGCTGAAAGGAGATAACTTGCCACTTTTAGTCTTAGGAATTCAGTTATTCCCTCTTCTTTCCATCTAAAGAATGAGCACATGTCGATGGTGTACGCCTAGTGGTTCTGATACCACAGAGTTCCTGAAGAACTATGCTTCCAAAGGGTTGTCCCAGGAAGATCTTGAAGGATCCAATGATGATCTCTGTTACTGCCTGGAGTGTGTGGTTGAATACCATAGAGCGAGGGAGAAATTGCCAAGCTTGCATGAGGTAATTAAGAGATTTGACTCTTGCCCTTTACTGAATAGAGACATCCATTGAATGCTTTGGAGGGGGACTTACGTGGTCTGGCTTTAGTGAACCACATTTTCGCTTGGGGGCTGTGTTGTACTGGTTTTTGGAAATAGGTTATGTTGTTTTTTAACTATACGTGGGTATATTGGGTTGCATGGAGCCTAGCGTAAAACAAGAAGTCCCTTCCCTTTTGCATATTTTCAAAAGGGTGAAAACGAAAACAGTAGTAGGAAGTCACTGACTAGACATTCAAGCTTGAATGTTGTTCATGCTGTCATGGTTTTGGGTCTAAAAAAAGAACAGTGCTCAAACAAAATAACTGCTGTATTTCTTAATGTATTTTCTTCCTTCCTTTACCTTCTGTTCGGTTTTGTTCTTTTTTCCTCTTCTTGTTTGCTTTCACTTTTCATTCACCGTTTTCTATTATGCTTAAACTTAGAGCCCTGATCCTGCAGGCGTATGAGACTGATTTTGCTCCACAGAGTTGTTTTAAAACTCTCTATTTTATTATAAGCCTATTACAATTATCCGCTTATTAGCAGCCGATCTGATGTTTTGGAAAGCTTATTTTCATGTGTGTGTGTGTCTGTGTGTGTCCGTATCTTTCTGTGTGTATGTAAGTGAATATTCATTCCCTACAGATATCTAAAAGGTTGCTCTTTAAATTAGTCAAACTTATTTAAAGTCTCTCACAGAGAGAAACGGATACCTCTGGAGGGCAATTCATCCCATCTGAGTATAGACTGGAAATAACTGGAGTGAATTGACTGTTGAAGGTGCCTTTCTCTCTCCATTGACTGTAGGAAATAACCTAGATTTCTAATTGAGGTTTGGAGCAGTTACCATAAATGACTAACACTATGTGAGAAGAGTCCTGTCCAGATATTCAGCAAGTTGGTCAGTTTGTTTGCGTATTCTGTGTTCTCGCTCTTCTACTAAAATGTTGCGAAGTATGTCAGAAAACTATATTTTTAAAATTATTAACTCAGTACTCCTAAACATGAACGGTTTCTCTATCACCCACTTTCTTGTACAGTAGGACAAAGTTCTATGGTTAGTCTGTGGCCAGAAATAATTACTGAAGCTATTTATGAATATTTAACAAAGTTACAAAAAACGCATCCAGTTGGAGTGCCACTGTTTTTTTGGATCATTTCGTAATCCTAACGCTGAAGTGAAAGTTTTGCACCATCTGAATTCCATGTCAAACCTTTAATGTTTCACATCGTGCTGGGGGAAAAACTTTCCAAAACTAAAATGCAAGCTAATCAAGGTTTCCGCCTATGATAACAAATGTCCTTAATCTCTCCCTTCACAAATCTATCTTGATCAGCTATGTTTTTCCCCACTGAATAGGTCCTGTGGGAGTTGGAAACCTCCCGTCTCATTGCCCACATTGAGAAATCCATGAAAGAAGTTGGAGAAGATGATGAATTGTTTATAGTGGATGAGAATGGGGAGACACAACTATCTGGTTACGTAGGCCCGGATTTTGAGAATAACTTGCGAGTGCCCCTTCTGGAAATACTGAAATATCCATATCTGCTGCTGCATGAGAAAGTCAGTAAGTGTTTTGTAGAACATAGTTGGAAGGACAAGGTATTGTTTCTGCTGTGCTGCAGGAAGCAAAAATAACAATTAGTTGCCATACCAAAGTACCAGTATTTTTCTTTGATGCTAAGTAGGCTAGGTTATTTTTGTTTTTTCAGTATACAAGTTAGTCATTACTATATTTGTGTCCCTTTTTTTTAGGTGAGCTTTGTGTAGAAGTGCTCTGTAGAATGGAAGAAGGTCACAACTCCTTTCAGGTCTTTGAGAAATATCCAGGAATTTATCTCTTTTTGGTACACCCTCATGAAGTGGTAAGTTACGTTTTCTGTAACTGGAAACATTACTGTCTTTTACTGGGTCATGTATATTCTAAGAATTTGATGATGCAGTCTTGTGGTTTTTCACTGTAGGTAAGATGGACTGTTGTTTTTAGGTTCAAATGCCTGTAACAAAGCCACTTTGAATAGCTCGTAATTCAGTAGAATTATGTCACCTTGATTAGCAGTGGGTGGGACAAAGGTTTCTTGAATTGGTCTTGGAATGCCATGCATGGAAAAAAACCTAATGTTCTACATAAGCAGCTAGCGTTTTGTAAAAATCACTGGATGAGAAGGTGTGTTAAGTTGACAGACTCTCTGTAGTCCAAACTCTGTGGTAAGACTTTAAGTTTTGCTTCTCATCTGGCTTTCTTTAGCTTCTGTTAAGTGGGAGTAATGTTGTGGAAACAGTTCGACCTTAGGTTTCCGAGGAGCAGAGTCTCGTGCATGTATAACGGCAAAATTAATTATTTAATTAAATGATGGTACAACAGAATAACGGGTCGAGCTGGGTGCCTCTGGGGAGGGACCTAGAACAAAAGAATTTTTAAGTAATTCTACTTCTTACAGTCTTATTTCCCCGCCTGCCAGTGAAAGTATCTTCTAATCTTCTTTACTGAGTTGGTGGTCTCTTTCCCTCTGGTTGGTTCATGTCTACGTCCTGGGATGGTTGCTAGATGGTTGCAGTGTTTCTGCTCTACAGTACCTTGTCTTAACTGAAGGTCAGCGGTTACCTCTCTTCGTTCCGATCGCTCTGTTCTGTATCCTTGAGGGCTGGTTCTAGCTGGTTTTGTAATTGCATAGTCAACAGTGTTCTTTGGGTTACAGTTCAGTCCCGTGGCCTGCAGGCTTCACCTACTTTAGGCACTTACGCTAAGCAAGAGTCAGACTTATGCTAAGCTGAAGCTAAGCGGGCTACGGTTTTGTTCTCTTAACAGTAAGCACCAAGCCTTGAAATACCTTTTATTCCTCCTGAGTTTTTCCTGACCTTCTCTGCTTGAGAGTTGCATACTGTATACAGGACCAAAACCCTGTCAGTTAAAAAAATAATTTCACCTATGAAAAGAAATTCTGCTAAAATTTAGCTTCAAATAACATTAGATTTTTAATTTTAGTGATAAGAAAATGAAAAATGCTGGCAGTATTCAAAATTTAAAGTGATTGATTTTCGTGTCCTTTTTTTTTTTTCCCCCTAACAGTATATACAGAAATTAGATTTCTATAGGAAAGTAGTTACTCTCTCTGAAGGAGAGAGGACTCTTGCCATAACTTCTAAAATTGCTTTGGAATTGCACTTAGTCAACAGAAGTTAGACGTGTTCAACTCAACCATATAGGAAAGCCGTACACTCCCAAATGGAATTCTTCTCAAGTGGACCAGAGTTTGTAATCTCACATGTTAATGCCCTTTTCCTTTCCTGTTCTTTCCTGTCTCTGTGCCTAGAAGCTTTTATCTTTTACTAATACTCAGAACCTTACAAATTGCAAAGGATGTATTTGGGATTATCTCCAGTTTAAATGCTTGTAGTGAGAAGAGCGTAGTTAGCTGAAAGAAAATATGTACTCAGCAGCGTACTTCCTTTAAAATTCACCGTAGTTAAGTGTCACAGGGTTTTGTAATTATCAGGAAGCGTTATTATTTTTACGTAGAATTGTGTATTCTGTGGTGGGACGACTCGAGTGCAGAGTATTTTGGCCTGCATCTGAGTCCATGGGGGATATTTTAATATAGAACAGTCCAAGGTCGGTGCTCACATTTGAAAACGTAAGCAGGAGAACTCTATTGCATGTAATCTTCAGATGCGCCAGCCGGTTTTGGTAGCATTCATACTAGTGTAGGTATCAGAGGCAGGTCTTGTTTTGATTCTTGTCTCTTGAGGAAGAGTGACAAAATGAGGAATTTTGAAATACTGAGTTTGTCTATGCTGAAAGTGTTCAGTTCTCAACTAAAGACGTTACTAACATCATTATATTTTTTGCTGGTCAAGAGACTTGACAGGGAACAAAAAAGACCTGAGGTTCTAAAAACAATACTGATGTGGCTGAGAGCTGACTTTTCTGCGTTGCTTTGAAGATGATGTGTTGTCCTGCAAAAGGAGGCTGTTCCTTACAGCTGCATGTATACATAACGTATCCTAAAGTGGAAGCTGATATCAGTAACAGGGGAGAGTAATGAAAAGTGGTGATAATACAGAGAATGCAGAACATATAGCATGCTACGATTGGGAGGACCTGTTGGAACATGGTAGGGTCATGTGTCGTGTTAATACTGAAGTGAGACTGAATGCTTTCCTTGCATGATCCTAAAGAGGTCCCGATGTGGTGTATTTACCTGTGTAAAGTGAATTTGGATGTGTAACTCTCAAAGGAGTATTAAGTTGTTGTAACTTATAGCAGACGTTTGTTTACCCCATAGGGAGGGGTTGAATTCTTCCTGTTTTTTTTCTTCCGCCTCATTTTGTGTAGCTTTACACTTGCTGTGGCTAGTGGGCAGACTATGGCCATAGCGTTTCTAAGATTGACTCACTTGAACATCAGTGTGAAGTACAGAATTTTAAGCTGTCATGAGAAATGGTAAAAGATTTAACAGTGTTCTATTAAATACTTGACAATATTCTGGAATTTTCTCAGTGGATCAGAGAATGATTCCACCTTGGCAAGAAATGATCAGTGTCCTCCTACTGACAGCACAGTTTGTTTGCAGTTATAATATATAGATACCTATATAGTACAGGTTGGTCAAAAAAGTTTAACTGAGATAAATAAGTACAAAGCCAAATGGTGCCCCCTTCTCACGTGAATCCTAAGGAGCTTTATTTGTATATATTTCTCTAAGTTTTAGCCTCCTCTTTGTTACCCATGTCTTGTTGTAGGTAGAATAAGCCTGTTTCTTAAGTCAATTGGGAAAAAGACTAGCCCTTACTTGCAATCGTGAGACTTTGCTTAAGTACTTTATTCCTTTTTTTTAATAGCAATCATACAAACGTCTTTGCTCTTTTTACTGATGTTGATATCAGTTTTTTGTTTTAACCTATAGATTCGTCGATGGGCCATCCTAACAGCAAGGAACTTAGGAAAGGTTGACAGGGATGATTACTATGACTTACAGGAAGTGCTGACTTGCTTGTTTAAAGTTATTGAGTTGGGGCTTTTTGACAGTCCAGATATTTATAGCTCTTCAATGATTGAAAAGGGTAAACTCGTCCTTCTGCCATCTCACTTATACGATACTACCAACTACAAGAACTATTGGCTAGGTGAGTATTTATGATCAGAAATTAACTTGTACCTGTGATATTTTTCATCTCGTGAGTGCTTCTTTCAAGTGAAAGCTTTACTATTTAGAGTAGGTGCTGTGTGTGTTTGTGTGCGGGTTTTTTTTTTTTTTAAACATGTCAAATGGAAAAACAGCATTGTACAACTGCAATAACGAGGTAGTGATTTAGTTAGTTTCATAGTACTCTGCTGATGATATCTGTGATCAAGGGGTTTAGTGGTGGTGGTATTTGAAAAGTGATTCTTGATTTGATGGAACTTCAAACTGAACAAACTTTCACAAATATAATGGCAGGTTACTTTTTTTTTTTGTGTATGTGTGCGTATGTAGGTATTTGTATGTTGCTAACAGTGCTGGAAGAACAAGCTATGGATTCCTTGTTGCTGGGCCCAGACAAACAGAATGATTTCATGCAGTCTATACTTCACACCATGGAGAAAGAAGCAGATGGTAACTAGTTTTTACTGCTGGGATTAATGACAGTTCGTAGTCTAAATTTCATCTTTATCACTTTGTTTGAATTTGTTATCGTATCCCAAAGAACTTTCTTACTGGGTAACTTGGTAGCATTGTAATGCTGAGGTGATGGAATGTAACTGTGAGACTTGTTTTCCTTCTTGAAGGATGACCAATATTTCACAATATTTGGACAGTACTGGCAAATACTGAAAAAATGAGATTTGAACGAACTCCTCACTGGAGGAAGGATGGTGGTTCCTTACATAAGGTTGGGTTAGAAGGTTTGAGGACAAATTTACAATTTCTACCAGATCACTTTCACTTAAAGTGGTACAGGAATGTACTTCTCACTATAGCACAAGCTTCAAATTTTGAGTCCTAAAATAGAGAAACTCCTTGTTTTGACTTGCTTGAGTTTGCAATTTGACTCTCCCTTCCTCCTCCCCCCCCCCACCCCTTTCTTCCTTTCTATTTCATCCATGTTTGGGGTGTATTATTAAAGTGGAGATTGGGGAACTTGTGGGTTTTTAACAGCTTCTTCAGGAACTTTGAGATTATAATATTTTTATATGTATATCTGATTTCAAACTGTGATCATTTAGATTATTTTTTAATCATCTTTTAGAGATGTAGGTCCCTTTAATTATGGAAATAATTAACAATAGTAATGAAGGTACGCATCTTGCGTTTCGAGGGTTTACATGTCAAAGAAGAGTAGTTTGCAGGCAGAAGATGATGATTCTTCAAGAGCTTTGCTGCAAGCCCCAACTGCGCAAGTAGCTGAGTTTTAGGCAATCCCTTTTACAGCTTAGTGTTCAGACCAACTATTAGCTCTTGGGCCATACTCATAGCCCGTATACAATAGCATAGCCCTGGAACAGCACGTGAACTCAAGACCAGGGTATGCATGCTGCCCCTTAAAGGAAATGACTAGATCTTTATATGCTTGACGTGTTTGTTGAGGACGTGACATGTCCTTACCTTACGTGAGGAAGGAAGAAAACGTATGGAGAAAAACTGTGTTGCTTCTGCCTTGCATTTGAGGAATAAATTGACTTAGTAGTGTTGTTTGTACCTACTTAGGAGAGTAGCACTGCAAAACAATTAATATGGGAGAGCAAGTTTCACAGTTGGGAAACATTAAGGATAGCTATCTAGGTTCCTGTTGATTTCAGGCTACATAAGCAGCAGTGTCTGTACGTATAGGTATTTTTCCTCGCCTCCCCCCCGCCCTTTTCTTTTCTTCTTCCTTTGAGTTAAAAACATAGTTGCAGCTTAATAAAATACTTACCTCTAATATTAAAAAATCAATGAAAACCAATTTATTTCAACTTCCGCTTACTCTAAGAATGTGCAGGACTTCTTGCATTTCAACTCTCCTCAATATTACTGTTATGTTTCAGATGATTCTACTGACCCCTTCTGGCCAGCACTGCACTGTTTCATGGTTATTTTGGATCAACTTGGATCTAAAGTATGGGGTCAGCTTATTGATCCTGTCCAAGCCTTTCAAACCATTATCAACAGTGTGAGCTACAACAGTGAAATAAAAAATATACGCAATAGCTTTAAGAGGTCAGTTGTCTCTTTTTAAAAGATTGGAAGAGTTTTAAGATTTTAACGTCTGGTAGTGTAGTAGCTCTGATCCGGTGATCTTTGTCAGTGTTGCCTTAATTTGTGTTGGTAGAGGAAAATGGCAGCAAGAAAAATCAAAGGTTACCAACTTCAATCAATGAAATGATGAAGTAGGTCCCCAAAATTGTGAGATTATTTTAAAAATTGCTAACATCTTTTTGACTACCTGATATCTTATATGCTTTTCAGGAATTTTTTTTCTGAACCAGGAAGGCTGCTAGTTGCTTAATGTTTGCTAGTGCTGTAACCAACTTGCACTGAAGCTTAATGAAGGATGCCGTATCTGAGACTCCTGATAATATTATGGGAATTGCCAAATTTTCAGTGGGATGCTGTAGTTTTTAGATTTTACTGTAATTATGGATGTCAACTGGTTTGGGCTTGCTTTCAGCTTGTGTCAAGTCTTAAATATTTCTTAAGATTCGATTTCCTGGAAGATACTGTAGAGTCTTAAAACTTTTGTTTATTTTCTGATTGTATTTCTTCCAATGGGGATAGTAAAGCAAGAATCCCTAAACTGTCCTTTAATTGCTGCTGGAAGTTCACCTTATTACAAAAGGAGATGTTTCAAAGCGCGTAGCAGGCATCAGATGCTCTTTTTGCAAGGTTTTGGTTTCATACAATTCAATCCTAAGATAAAACACTATTTTGAATTGCTTCTGAGTGACAGAACATTAGCTATTCTGCACTGAGTAGGAAATGAATTAGATGAAGTGCTTGTTCAGTGCAGAAGCAATTAATTAATCAAGATTATTAAAGACAAAGATTATTAAAATTGCTAAGACCTATCTGAAATTAAAGTTAGAACAGCAGAGGAAAGCATTGAAGGAGATTTTGTTCAGTTAAACAAGATATTTGAGTGTTTTGCATGAACAATTGCATAACATTGTATGAGTACATAGCTGTGATTCAGCTGTGTTTATGCATAGAAAATTCAAAGAAGCTGGAATCCTTCTGAATGTTTGTTCTATTTAATCAGTCAAACTCATGACATAGTGGTAAGCTTTTTCCCTGAGGCAGTCCCCCCCCCCTCTTCTTTTACATGCAGGGTAGAACAAACTCGCACAATTTTACGTATGATATTTTCCTCATGTTTTCCTAGGTGTGTCTTATTACTAACAGCTTCTAATAGTCACGTGGTCAGTACTTAAAAAATGAAATCTGTGTCTCTGCCAGTCAGCTTTCTTATAGACTGCACACAAATTACTCAAACGATAACGACTTGTATTTCTCATTTTAGGACCAAATCTGAACCAGAGTCAGACTACGATGATGAAATGGTTACTTGCAGTCAGATTGTATATGATTACAATACAGAAAAGCCCCAAAAGGTATTTAAAAATATTTTTCCTTGCTTTTTGAACTGACCATCAAATGAAACTCAAGTTAAACTGCATGTAAAATGTGAAAGGAAGCTATTCTGTTTCTGCAAGTAACACTTAAAATGCTGTAAATAAGAAATATTAAGTAGCATAGGTAACTACTATATGCCTTAAACAGTAGCCAGTCTACCCATTGTTACTATTTAAATGTTTAATTACTTCCTTGTATACGTAGCGCTTTCATACTGCAAGGAGAAAGAATGTTTTTGTGAATTTGGCAGGTACAGTATTAAAGCACTAAAATTGGTAGCAAGATTGAAACCAACATTTGTACCTTAAAGACCTTTGAATTCTGTCTTTTTTAAAAGTAGTCTAGTTGTTGATTGATTTCTTGTATTTTACTTTGTGTTTATTGGTATTTTCAAATAACTTGAGTATTGAGTAATGAAGTATAAAATGATTTACTTTTAAATGCTAGACCCTTCTTCAGAGCAATCACGGCTTGTAGTACCACTTACTGTTTTAAAACAGAGGAACCGTTTGCGAGCACATTCTGCTCTTAATGCTGGAGTGCCGTATTTATAAAATAATGTATCTTAAATGTTGTTAATGTAGCATATTTGAATATATGAGGCTGAATATGTCAGCATAACAGTTTTTGGAAGGCTTTACAATGATTTTTAAAGGGAAACACTGCTCAACTTTTTTATTTCGTGGATTCCTCTTTAGGAAATATGTTCCTTTTGTGTGTGCTGGAGTTTGATCTTTGTTTGTCATATGTTTGAGATAAAGTAACACTTATGACCAGAAAACAGTGGCAGATCAAACTGTGCAGATGTGAATAACGAGGTTGATATGTGGTGAATTTATTTTTCAGGATACTGGATGGAAAACTGCCATTTGTCCAGACTATTGCCCCAACATGTATGAAGATATGCAAACACTGGCTAACGTGCTTCAGTCTGATATTGGCAGAGATATGCGTGTCCATCACAGCACTTTTCTGTGGTTCATCCCTTTTGTTCAGTCACTTATGGACCTCAAGGACTTGGGTGTGGCATATATAGTAGAGGTCATTCACTACCTCTGCTCAGAAATCAGGGATATTCTTAATGAAAGAATCCAGCAGTGTGACAAAGTCTCTGAATTTTTTGTCCTGATCTTGGTGTCGATTATTGAACTACACAGAAATAAAAAATGCCTGCATTTGCTATGGGTTAGCTCACAAGAATGGGTGGAAGCGGTGGTGAGGTGTGCTAAGCTCCCAGCCGTAGCATTTACACGGTGCACCGAAAAAGCATCTGGAAACTATCAAAGAGGTTCATCGGCACTGTCTTCACAGGCTTCTAACTCTGTGCAGCATGCTTGCGTCCAGTTGATACGCAGCCTTCTTAGAGAAGGTTATCAAATCGGGCAGCATGCTCTTTGCAAGCAATACCTAGACAAAATCAATCTCCTTCTACGTGGAAATCTATCCCTAGGTTGGCAGCTGAGCATCCAGGAAACCCAGGAATTACAGATGTGTTTAAAGCAGGTTATAAGAAGTATAAAGGGCAGAGCAATGAGTACCTCTGTGCCTGTGGAAAACAATGCAAACTCTGCAGCTTTGCCCACCTTTCCTATAAAGCAGGAGAAGAGGATGCGTGATGATGGATATAAAATGACTGCACATGGCAGAGATGACCTTTGTTTACCCCCTTCTTTTATATCGAAGGGAGTCAGAGATGGAGGTTGTCAGGAGAACCTTTTCCCTAGAAGAAGTGATGCCTGGGAAGAGGAATGCAGAGGTGCCTTTAAAACTTCAAGACCTTTCACTGAAAGGCGTCCTGTGGATGTGTATGTTAAAAAGGAACCTAATGACGAGACAGCTCGGGAATATGAATACCCGCAAAACTCTTTGGCAGCAAAAAAGTATGGGGAAGTTCAGAAAAACAGGGACAGTCCTCTTGTATCATGGAACTGTGATAAGGATAATTGGTTCTTCAATCCAAACTTTCAGGGTTCTGATTTTAAAAGAAGTGGAGAGTTAGATGATAAATGTGAAACAGAACCCCTAACACCAAAGCGTCTGGCTGCTCGGACTTGCATTGGTTCTCCAGAACATGTTCAAAGCGCAGATGAGAAGGAAAGCAACATGTCTCCTAATTCCTCCTTAAAGTTTAAAATAGACGCAGATAGACTCACGAGTCTGAAACAGAAGGTACTGAAAACTGACTGGATCTCAAAACTATCGCAGCCAGTGAAGCCACCCAACTTGAAAAACAGTAGTGTGGCAAAAAGTGCTTCAGAAGCAGACCAACCTCAGCTGTGCGCTGACAGTCTGTGTACAAGCAAAGATTGCTACAGACACCAAGGAGTGAATCTTGTGTGTGAAAATGAAATCTCTGTTAATTCTCATGCTTCAAGGAGCTTTGAAAACAGGCAGGAAAAAAGCACGAACAATACTTTTCAATACAGATTGGACTCCATTAAACAGGAATCAGAAGAGACGCTGCTGGATTGCTCTCGTTCCTCTAAAAACAAACCTGATTTGCAAGAAAATGAAGATGACCACCTTTTGCTTTCAGGGATTAGCAACAATAGGAAAAAAGGACCTAATGAAGAAAGATCAAGTTCGTTGTTGAAGTCCGTGTTTGACAAAGACCTTAACATGCAAACTTCAGACCAGGAACAGCCTGATTTAGGCAACTTACGTAAAGATGACTGCAAAGGTCGGATTCTGAGGACGTTCTGTACAGATAAAACTTTAGCAAATGGGCATGTTCCATCTAGCCCTGAAAATAAGGGGCGTGTATCCAACGCTGCTCTTCAGATCAGTCCGCTCTCAGTGAAGTGTGAATCAAGTGACAGACTGTTAGAATTTTCAAAGAATTTTAAGGAAGAAGACAGTTCAGTGGGGAAAAGGGGTGAGGATTTTGTGACTGTGGCTTCTGGAGATAACAATTTAACGGACTCTGAGGTTGATCGAGACCTCAGTAAGTTATCTTTAGCTGCGTATGCCAAAAGTGTCAATTTTCCTGTTGAATCAAGCCAAGAAACCTCAGTGCATCATAATATATGTGACATTAAAAGGAAAGTGAAAGGTGCTGTAAGATCTTCCAGCAGTGTCCAGAATAACAAGTCACCCTGTGATGCAGATTGCCTTGACAATCAAGTCATTATCATTTCAGACTCCTCTGATGAAGAAAAAAACGTGACTGTTGAGGAAAAAACAGAAAAAACAAATGAAAATGAGCCTCCAGAAAAACAGCCTTTAACATCCGGCAGCATTTCTGATAGCGAGAGCAAAAAAGAATTGAAGACGCCTAGCTCTCCCTTGTTGCACGAAGAATGTGAGTCTCAGTACTTTGAGTTTGAAACAGAAGATGAAGTCTTTTCAGTTTGGCAAGATACTCAGATGTACAGTATGGAAAAAACTCAAGAATACAAACAAGACCGTCTTTCAACATCAGTTGGTAGCAGTGACTCAGATAGCGTACTGAAGGATTACACAAATGATTGGGGTTATGATACAGATTACATAAGCGATGACACCATTGAAAAAGAAGCAAATGTGATGGAAAAGCAGATAGATAGTCTCTCTCATCAGACAGAAGCTGGTAATGCAGAAGAAGTATCTAGTTCAGCCTTACAGGAGTCTGTTAGTAAGGGAAACGCAAAAGATCAACTAGAGAATTCTTCAGACAAAAGTGCTGTTGTTAAAGACTTTATCCCGAACACCGAATTGCCTGAACCCAGAGCATCTGTGTCTAACATATCGTTAGCTTCAAAGTTGGCCCTTAAGAAAAACAGCATGAGCCCGGGGAAGAATTTAGCAAAGTCTAAGGTGGCAAGAACTGCTCAAAGAAGTCCCAAAAGAGCTCCTCTTAAAACAGCACAGAGTAAAAAACTATCTCAAAGGACCTCAAAAAACTCTCAACCTGGCAGGTCAACACCTGCTGTGGTTCCTCCAAAGAAAGCTCGGCAGTGTCCTACACCAGCATCAACTGCAGAAAAGCTTGGCCTGAAGAAGGCACCCCGCAAAGCACTTGAGTTATCTCAGCGCTCTTTAGAGAGTCTGGCTCAATTGCGTAGCTATGGTAAAGCTGCTGGGAAAGTTGGAATTGCCCAGAAACGGAAGGTTAAATTAATTACTCCTCAGACTTTGTCAATTAAAAATAATAAAAAAATGCTAGCCTGCCAAGATCTTCAGTTTTTAAGGCAGACGAGGCCCAAACAAAGTGTCAGAGGGAAAAATCTCGCAGGAAGTTCTTCCGAGGGTAGAAGCAAAAAGGTTAGCAAAGTGGATGCGAAATCTGTGAAACAAAAGCTTGAAAGTTTTGGCTTGACATCTGTTGAAGGAGCCATTGAAACCCAAGGGGGAAGAAAAGTGGAGCAGACCTTTTGTCCCTCAGCCAATGAGAGAAAACAAATCAGAGATGCCTCCGTGGAGAAGGAGGATGTCTCCATGCAAACAACAAACGCCTCTAAAATACCTGTTTTTTCAGACTTGAACATAAAAACAAAAGACGACAATACGATGGTTCCTCCTGTACCTATGGATTTAGATCTCTTTTCCCCTGGAGCTGCTGAAGATGATAAAGATAAACCTTCAGAAGGAGGTTGTGTTGTCCAGTCTAAGTTTGAGAAGACAGCTTTGAAAGAAAATGGGTGTAAATCAAATGAAAACAGTGATGATGATGATGATTTATTTTTAACTCAGTTAGATCCTGTGGATATGGAATTATGTTCCCAAGAGGAAAACGATGGAGACGTTACTATAACTAGTAAACCAGTGGAAATAGAAATAGGTGCTGCTGAAAGCCCTCAGCAGAACAAACCCTTGAGTGTTGGGAAATGTAAGTACAAAGACTGTATGGAAAAAGTGGAAAAAATAGGTGAGTACTGTAGAAAGCATTCAAGTACCAATTTGGAAACAGATCACTTGTTTGCCAAACCTTTGCTGCCACCTTCTAAGACAAAAAAGCCTTTCACTACCAAAATTTTCAGCTCAGCAAGTTCTTCGCGGAATGCAGCCTTCACCAAGGATCTTGAAGATGTTAAAAAACTACCACCATCTTCAAAAAACAAAGTGAACGTAACGAAACCCGTGGTATGCAGACCACCAAATGCAAAGACTATACCAGCAGGAAATCAAATACGCAAGTCCCCAAGTTTCAGTAATGTTCCTCAGCCTTCTGTTTCCAGTAACGTTCTCCGGCCGCAAAACACACAGATCGACAATGCTTCAAATATTTCCGGAAGATCTGTCCGAGAACATCATTCTTCCTTTCTTGGGGCTCAGCAGCGTGATCATAGTATTTTTGTTAAAGAAGTCCTGAAGTGGACTTATGAAATGTTTGCAAACTCCAGCCAGTATGGGCCTCCGGATAATCTCCTGCGTTCTGTAGTAGCCTCTGTTCCCATCAAATTTCAGGGATACAATGACTATTTTAATACGTTTTTCCCCTTGATGATGCTAAATGCTTTTGAAACAGTAAGTACCTGTCTGCCTTTCGATTTGCTTTCCATCAATGCTAGTCAATTTTGGAAAGAGTTTAAAAATTGCTTTATGTTCTCTATTTAAAATGTTTAGAAAAAAATCTTCATTAGCTCTCCGTATCTGAGTAGAGGATTGGTTTGGGGCAAATAGTCTAGGCAGATAATAGGTTTAAGACGGCTGGGGACTGTTAGCGTTATCCTTCACTGCAGTGAAGCTTTTCTGGTGCACGTTCACAGTAACTTGCAAAGGGAGGAGAATAGGAAGCCGTTCTTCTTTCTTCATGGCATATAAAGCCTAAGACAGAAATCTTCATGTCTTAGAAGTTGAGATCTTTCTACAACAGCATCTGTAAAAAGAGGCTAAGAATGTAGTGGTTTGACTTAGGCTGAGAATTTATGCAAGAGAGCTGGTTGATCTGAGAGGTGTTATTTCAAACTACTTATCTTTAATAGTTATTTCTGGGAGAGGACTCGGTATTTCTTCAGTTAAAGGCTGTATGCTTTTGAGTTCTGTCACTGCATCGTTTTTCCAGTAGAAATAGGGTAAAAAGGGTATTGCTGGTATTTTAAAGCAAAAATGGAAGGGGAAAAAACCCCACGTTGTTTTGAAGAGCCTTGTGGGAAAGTCACATTCAAAAGGAACTGTGCCTGACCTCTGTGTGTGTGTGCGTGTGCGTTTGTGTATACGTGTATAAAGGAAGAAATGGATAAGATTTGTCTGTGTCTTATCCTTGACAGATCTGTTAATTTTCATTCATTTCTGCCGAGTCGCTTTTGCTGTTTGTGAGTTACGATAAGCTATTCTTCTGAAAAAAATAACCTTTCAGAGTGCTTCATTTAACTCTTACTTTCCAACTTGTAGCTGGCACAAGACTGGTTAGAGAGCCAGAGAATGAGAGAGAAGAGTTACTACTTCCACTTGCAGAACTTCTGTGCTGACTTGAATAGAGCAGATTTTATAGGTAAGGTTTTGTTTGTTTTTTAATAAACCCTGTTTTCATAGTGAAGTAGGCAGGGCCTTATAATGAGCTAGCCTTTACAGGTAGAAATAAGCATACGATATAGGCATTGAGTGTCTTTAGCAACTTCCTTGTGTGAATTTAAAATAACCTTAGGAAGGTAATGACACAGCTAGCTTTTCTTCTACCGTTTATTTCTGCTGTTCAAAATACCTTAGCCACCCAGTAAATCTGTGACTGTATTTCATGTTCCTTATTACCTACTCCTTCCAAGTAATATCACACGTTTCAGTGCCACTGTTCTTCAGCGCTAAGTGTGGTGTGCTGAGTCTTGAAATTGGAGAGGAGTTATGGCATTGCAGTATGAATCTGGGTGGTGCTAGCTTCTGTTTGCCTGTCTGCCCTCACCGCATAACTGTTAAGGGCTTCAGCTTCTCTCCTCTTGCCTCCTTTCGTGTTGTGGCTGCTTCGTCAGATCTACAAGGGTTTTTATTTCCTTTAAGTACAAGAAGAATCATGAATTTGCTATTTTACAGAACACTCATCGTGAAAATACATTTCAGAACAAGAAGTTACTTGCTTAAGGTTGGAGTACTTTCCATCTCCTCTGGAATTTTGCCTCATCTTCTTTTGGGAAATAAAATAGTTCTCAACTTGCTCTGCTTTTACACAGATCTGTGTTCAGGCTTAAGAACGTGGAATGGAGTTACAGCTGTTCATTTTCTTTTGCTATAGATTTTGTAGCTTTAAAACTTTACACACACTTCAGAAATATCTGCTAATGTTAATTATGATATTTTTGTAGTTAGAATGTAATTGTGCCCATATTACTTTTACTGTTTTAATTCTTAAACTTTTTTTTTGGGGGGGGGATGGGTAGCTCATATTCGAGAAAGCGATTTGGCAAGGCAACTTCATCCAAAGGAGGATGATTTAATCTTTCTGGTGGTCCAAGAGAGAAAAAACACCTTTGGGGAAGAAAGTGAGATGGTGAACCATCTAGTGAAGCACGTGGGTCTTGTGACACGATTTTCGCGTGCACCTGGCGGTTAAGCTAGTAAGTAAATGAGATTGAGATAAAAATGCAATTCCTTTTGATAACATCAAATACTTCTTTGTACTGGGCTGATAAAGTTTGTACTATATCACTTATCTAAGAGGAGATGGATTGCTTTTTTCCCCTCATTCTGCTCCATGCTGGAAGCTTTCTATTTAAAAAAATAAAAAAATAAAAACCTGTAGATTTGCTTTTCATGCGTTTTCTAGGGACTTCCTGTAGTACAGATGTTAATACTTGGTGTAAAAGTAGAAATTAATGATGATTAAGTGCTGTGCATATACCTTTAGGAGTGCACTGCTGTAAGATAAAGAGTGCCATCTGTTTCTATGACTTCACTGAATAAAATGTTCAGTATCTCCTAGAACTGGGGCTGTGAAGTACCAGAACTACCAAGGTTAGCGCTGCTCAGTTAAAACAGTGACAGTATGGCTTTATTATATGACCAATCTAGTCACAGCCTTTTTACAGAGCAATGTGGGTTTTTTGTAAGAATTAGTTGATTGCTTTCTAATACAAGGCAGCATCTGGTTCTGATAAGCTCTTTGAATGAGCTATGTGAATATCTTTTAATTAGCATTTTGTATATTCTTTGAATTAACAATTTTAGTGTTGCGGTTTCTTTCTTTTAATAGGACAAAATGAGCAGCATCCTGTCTGCCATCTTTCTGTGCAAACTCAAGGCAATTTGTCACTCTTCATAAATAAGCAAGTGAAATGTGTGGTGGTCGGCTCCCTAGTGACTACGCAGCGAACGTTTAAAGGTCTGCTACTACTGAGCAGGAGTCCCCTGGCGAAACCCATCATAAACCCAAGTTACAATGACTTCTGTCCCAGAGATTTGCACGTAGCTTCAGAAAGTGATGTAAGTCCTGTGGTGAAGAGAAGTGATGGTGAGGGATGACAAGTGGGCATTTGTATCTCATCAGTTTTGCAAAACAGATGGTCGTGCTGGTGTTTGAGACGCCTCAGTGCAAATATACAGATTTCAAAGGCACTGAGTCACTCTACTTTTCAGAGTTGGTGGCCTGGGTGGGTAGGCAGGAGGCTGGTTTTGCTCATGTCGTTCTGATCTGTTGACGCAGATATTGGCAGTGCACCTCAAACAGCTGTCTTCCCCCACCCCCCACCTTGCTGGAGAGGTGCCTGTTCAGGACATAAGAGACAGTAATGAAAAGGTAATGCCAAATAAAGGCGTGTAGAGTAAACACTCTTCACTGCAGCCTTTGAGTCAGGATTGGACGTGCCTTGAGCAAACCTAAAGTCAGAAGCTTCCGTGACCTTTGTAAGGTATAAAAGGCTTTTTAGTCTTGGGAGGAAAGGCGGGGGATTTTGAAAATATATAAAAACGAGCACAGACACTTTAATCATCCTTTCAGGCTTATATGAAAGACTACAATGAAGATCAAAAGAGAGCCATCGAGACTGCTTACGCCATTGTAAAACAACATCCAGGACTTCCCAAGATCTGTCTTATACATGGACCCCCTGGAACAGGGAAATCAAAAACTATTGTTGGACTTTTGTCTCGTGTTTTGAGAGAGGTAGGTGAATGTGATGCGTTCATGTACCGTTGTTCGCTTTCCCAAAAGAATCAGTGGAAGGGAATCAATGATAGCTTGAAATAAGTCAAAGTGTGACTAGGGCTGTAATTCATTAAGCTGAATTTCTTTAAACCTGTATAGTATCGGCTGTAACCCTAGAAATAACACCTCTTGTACATTTTGGAAAACTCTTATTTTAAGAGCTTAGAAAGTAAAATCACGAAAACTTCCTCCTGAGCACCCAAATAGGTAGTGTGAACATTGGTCATATAAAAATACCTTTGTATTTTGATGTGTTACAGAACATAACTTGACCTATCTCGTCTGATTTTTCCACACTAGCATCCAAGGGATCCATCAGGTACATGATTGTTAAAGGGGATTTGTGCAAATAGTGTTCATGTATTTGACTCGCCTGTTACTCAGCGTAAGGCATACTGTAACTTAAGAGATGTTCAAGTGCAACAGTCCTCACACACCGTGTGCTGATTAAGAGGAGCGTACAGTCTGGCTTTTAAAATACAGATCAAAACGATCCAAAGAGCCTGTTTTGATTTATTGCTAATTAATCTACAGAACGCTAGGAATGAGAAAAGAACTCAAAAACCAAATTCCAAGATCAAGCTAAACCGTTTTCTAGTTTGTGCACCATCCAATGCTGCTGTTGATGAACTCATGAAAAAGATCATCGTTGAATTTAAGGAAAAATGCCAAAACAGACAGGATCCTTTGGGTATGTGTTTATTTGAAATTTTGTTTGGGTTAAATAGATAAATCCTGGAGGAGAAACTGGAACAGCTGATTAGGTATGACGCTTATGTTACTCTATACAAAAGATGTTTTCTCTTGCCGTCATGACTGATGCATCCTCATCCTGTTGTTTAAGTGCTTTTTTTTTTTTTAATCTTTACAAATAAACTGTACATTGTCTTTGTGTAAGCATTGAGCCTTTTCCCTTAGCATTTGTATCAGTTCACCACTATTTAAGTACCCCTTAAAGCTTTGAATAGAAAATTCTTATCTTTATATTGAATTAAATTGGCCTTCACAGATCATATTAAACAGAGACTGATAAAAAATTTTGCCGTTTCAGAGCCATTCACTTTTTTCCTCTCTTCTGTGATGAATACAAACCAGACAAGTTCTAAACGCGCTGAGTCTGTAAAGAAGTCTGCTTTGTAACCAGATGTTAATTCCATGTTGACTTGCTGACTGTATTACTCATGGTGCTCTTCTAGAGTTTTCTAATGTAGAATTTTGTAAGTTTTAGATGAGCTCTGGGAGGTGGTTCTGTTCATTCAAGGTGACGTACTTGCCTATGCTTTAGTGGTGGTAACAGTTAACATCTTTTCTGAGTATGGAATTACTGAATTTTTTGTAGCTACCTTTGTATAAGTACAAATAAATTGTTTAAGTTCCCTTAAGAGTAGAAAAGGCTAAAAGCCTCATTTCATATTTGCAATTTAAAAAAAATACTTCTTCTCTGAAACCAGAATGAAGGGATGATTGGAGCAATCTAAAAGCATTTTGACGATGTTATTTTTTCATAAACAGGGAACTGTGGTGATATCAGTTTAGTGCGACTGGGTGCAGAAAAATCTATCAGCAGTGAAGTACGTGGATTTAGCCTGGATAAGCAAGTTGAACATCGAATGAGTAAGTAACATGGAAATCAGACTTTTCTTCAGCTTTCTTTAAGAGATTGATAATGTTATGCACTTGGGACAGGTGTATGCTCAAAAAGAGGGAAGATTAGGCAAAAGATTTTTATACAGTGTCACACGTCATGCCACAGTGCTTTCGCTGTGCAGAATTACAGCATGGTTGAGGTTCGAAGGGACCTCTGGAGAACTACTCCAACCACCCTACCCAAGCAGGGTCACATAGAACAGGTTGCCCAGGACTGTATACAGGCAGCTTTTGAATATCTGTAAAGACAGACTCCACAACCTCTCTGGGCAACGTGTTCCAGTGTCTGGCCACCCTCATAGTGTTTTTAAAAAACAAAACAAAACAACCCCCTTTTTTTCTTTTTTTTCGTTTTTTTCCCCCCCCTCTTTACATTCTGATGGAACTTCCTATATTTTGGTTTGTGCCCATTGCCTCTCGTCCTGTCACTGGGCTCTACCGAAAAGAGTCTTGCTCTGACTACTTTATGCCCTCCCTTCAGATATTTATACATAATGATAAGAATCCCCCCACCCTGCCCCGAGCCTTCTCTTCTCTAGGCTAAACAATCCTAGTTCTCCTGTCACTTCCTCATATGACAGGTACTCCAGTTCCTTAAGGATCTTAGCCTTTTGTTGGACTCGCTCCAGTAGCTCTGTAGCTCTTCTGTGGAGCCCAGAACCGGACGCAGTACTCCAGGTGTGGCCTCACCAGGGCTGAGTAGAGGGGAAGGATCACCTCCTTCAACCTACTGGCAATGCTCTTCCTAATGCTGCCCAGGATGCCATTGGCCTTCTGTGCGATAAGGGCACGTTGTTGGCTCACGTCCAACTTCCTGTCCGCCAGGATCCCCAAATGGCCTGCTCTGCAGAGCTGCTTTCCAGCAGATTGTCCCTCAGCATGTACTAGTGCGTGGGGCTATTCCTCCCCAGGGGCAGGACTCTGCACTTGCCTTTATAGAACCTCATGAGATTCCTTTCTGCTCGTTTCTGCAGCCTGTTAAGGACCCTCTGCATGGCAGCGGGACCCTTTGCATAGCAGCACAACCCTCTGCTTCAGCTATTCCTCCCAGTTTTGTATTGGTAGCATACTTGCTTGAGGGTGCGCTCTGCCCCATCATCCAGGTCATGAATGAAGAAGTTGAACAGTACTGGACCCAGTATTGACCCATGTAGTATGCTGATGGTTATTGGCCTCCAACTAGAGTTGGTACCCCTGATCGCAACCACGTGAGCTTGGTTACTCAGCTGCTTTTCAGTCTACCTCACTGCTAACCTAACCTGTACTTCATCTGCTTGTTTATGAGGATTTTATGGCAGACAGTGTCGAAAGCCTTACTGAAGTCAAGGTAGGCAACGTCCACTGCTCTCCCCTCATCTACCAAGCTGCTAGTTTCATTGTAGGAGGCTATCAGGTTGGTTAAGCATGACTTCTCCTTTATGCTGACTACTCCTGATCACCTTTTTGTCTTTTGTCCAATGCTTTATAAGCACCGTTTCTGTCAGTCTTAATCGGAAAACCTCAGCTCACATCTAAAAAGTGAGACCATTTCTTCTGTGTGTAGTTTTTTGTTTTGTTTTTTTAAGTAATAATAAATATACATTAAAACCATCACTTTTAAATAGTGCAGAAGGATTTTTTTAAAAGCTAGGATCCGCAGCATTTGAGTGCCGCGGTTGGAACCCAGAGTGTAATATCATCATTTTTACTGTCTGAGATAAAAGACCTCAGAGGAAAAAGGGAAAAGGCAAAAACAGTTTGTCTTTTGTTCTTAATTGTTTAAGATGTTTGACTGAGGGGAAGAGATATTGTAACACAGTTTTTATTTCTTGTATATGTTTTCCTTTATGATAGAACGAAAACTACCTGACCGTGACCAGGATATTCAGAAGAAAAAAGAAGCTCTAGATCAAAAGCTGGACATGCTGTCTCGTCAACGTGCCATGCATAGATGTGAGAAGAGGGCGATAGTAAGATGATAGTATTTTTAATCCATTTGTGGTTTTGTATTCATAGCTGAATCCAAAGAGCAAAGAACTCTTTATAAAGCCATCTCTAAGCAGAAACAGTTTTCACTTGCTTTTCCAACTAATGGAAATGCTGGTTAGCACCATGGAAAGGAATGAGGTGCTTCAGGAATTTTTTCATCTGTTTATGCTTGTGTGTTCAGCTGCTCAACCATGGCACCTCTTGTTCTAGTGTTCAGTGGCCTTCATTTAGTTCTGTCATCGGTTAGAATTCAGTGTGGCCATACTTATAAAACGTTATGATTTCATTTCGTTGTATACTTCAAAGCTCTGCTTTTATTTGTCTGAAAATAAGCAGATATTTTGCAGTCTGAGATTTTGGAATCTGTTTGTTGCATCTGAAATTTTCCAGCTGCATAAATACTTGACACTTGCGCTCAAATTGTAGATTGTTGATAGTAAATCATGTATCTGGTTGAACAGAAATGTAGAAATCCAGTATTGTGTGCTGCAGAGCCTAAATATGTTGACAACTTTTTAGGAAACAGTGATCAGCATATATTTTTTTGACGCATTTGATATTAAAAAACAGTCTGAACAAGTTTAGCTGTTTAGGAAACATCTGAGCGTATGGGAGAAAAAAGGTCTCTAGGAAACGTGTTGTTAACTATTCTTGATATAAATATACAGTTTATTTTTAGTTTATTTTTTCCCCTCCAGAATCAAATGTTAGATGACGAAATTGGCAGACTTTCAAAGGAGAGACAGCAGCTTGCTTCCCAGCTGAAGGAGGTAGGAGTTTATCCTCAGGGCAGTTCTTAAATACATTAGCTGAGGTTTATTAATCTCCTTGGTATCCTTTAAGAGTAGTGGAGACTTGGATTTAATCTGGCTGGGAGTATTTATAAATAAAGTAGTAAGTAAATAGATAAAGGACACAAGCTGAGCAAGTAAAGGACAGTCTGTGAAATCCAAGTGTAAGTCTGCTGGCTGCATATTGCAGAAGAAGTGGCTGAGGAAATGAACTGTAGCAGATGAGGGTGAATGTAAAACAAAACATAAAATATTTGGCAAAGAAGTGAATAGAAACCTGCACGTTATCCTCATGTTCTAGGACTCATCTTCATCACCACTTTCACGCCCTGTGCTATCCTACTGGAGTCAAGACGTGTTTAAATATTTTTGAGAAAAGCAGCAGTTGGAGGATTTTTCTATTTGGGAAGAGTGGGAATAAGGACTGATAGAAAAAAAACATACAATAAGGCCAAGTAGCACAAATCGTATAAATCATACAAAAGATAATGATATCTGTTGATATTCAAAAGATATAGGCTGACCGTCATGGTCACAGAGGCTTGGATTTGAGTGTGATGACAAACTAAACTGTGCTCACGGTTACTCTATTTAGATTGCATAGCTGTACAGATGAAGGAATACTACTTATTAGTTTGCCATCTAGACAGCATTGATCTGACTTTGGGTGAGAGTAAGAGTCAAGCAAATTTGTGACTTGTGTTTGTAATAATGGAGGTAATTTCATTGGGATGGCATATCATATGTGATCTGTTTGGCAGTTGGAATTGTTCAGGCAGTTAGAAATTGCTGTAAGAACAAAGCAGGTGGTTCAAGAAAGCTAAAAGAGAAGAGGAGACACTGTGTCCTGTTGTACTTGAAGGTTCGGGGGTACTCCCAGAGAATACAGGCAGAAATCATCTTGGAGTCTGACATCATCTGCTGCACACTGAGCACAAGTGGAGGGACTCTGCTGGAATCCGCTTTTTGGCGGCAGGGACTCGATCCATTCAGCTGCGTCATTGTGGATGAGGTCAGTAAAGCTATGTAGAACTAAAGCATGTTCTCCTTCTAATGTCTGCCTTGCTCCTTGCTTAGGCTAATTGTGGCTGTTCAGCTGCTGGTGTAATATATTGTGGATTGACTCCCCTCTCCCAGTGTTTTAACTGGTAACCAGCCTATCCTACCATGTAGATCCTCGAGCAACGAGAGTAACTTGTAATAGTGTTTTGTTTTGTGGTTTTTTGGCTTGCTTGATGCTTTAGTGGGAAACATCTTTACTTAAAAACCATGGCTCTATAATAACAGAGACTCCCAAATGTTTGGGTTACGTTTGTATCTGTTTGGAGAGCTCTGCATATTGCTTAATTGAAAAATCTGGAGTTTTTATTGGAGAAAGATCCTTCTTTTTTCTCCCTCTTTCTTCAGAAGCCTTAAAAAGGATGTCCGAGTTATTCTGGCTGTGTTAGAGAAAACGTAACATGCTTCCCTCCACCCTTTTGCTTACGACTTCTACTTTTTGCTCTATTTGCGTATACAAAAGGCAGGGCAGTCCTGTGAGGTTGAAACACTCATTCCGCTGATTCATCGCTGTAATAAACTTGTCCTTGTTGGAGATCCCAGACAGCTCCCTCCTACTGTAAAATCACAGGTAAGTGTTCAAACTGTATTTTTTCCCTGGAAAAAATGTGTAGTGGATTTGGTATAAGAACAGCATCTATGAAGATATATAAAAGGAAAAAAGAAACTTCAGTGTAAGAGAGTGATGTATACCAAACACACTTTCTTTGCCCTGCCAGATAATTCCTATTTGGTTTGTGCTGTCCTGAGATGGTGTCAATATTGCCTTTAGGTATGTGAGTGTCGCTTCTATAGACGTACCTGATGTAGTTTGAAAGTAATTTCATGCACTAGTAAGAAAAGCTGTGGCACCAAAACTTCAGTGCTGCTCTGTTGCTTGTTACGTGAGCTTCAGTGAGCGTTGCATCCTTTAAGGAATGGGGATGGAGACTACCTGTTTGTGGGGGCGGAGGGGACTTCCTCACTCACAAAGGTGTTCTAAGAACGAACGTGTTAGCGTTTTTTTGCATCCAGCAGTAGGGAGGGCCAGTATAAACATCTGATAAGAAAGGAGGAAAAACAGACCACCTTCTCTGGAAGCACAAATCGTGTGCAGTTCAAGCGTTTGTTTAAAGAGACATCTGCAAGATCTTGCTTTTCGTTATTGTTAACGTATTTAAAATTTTAGTGCGTTGCAACTTGGAAAGGAAATTTGTGTTACTGAAGACACTGCAGTGACAAGATTCAGGCTTATGTAGGTGACCTCTACTGAAATAGTAAGACAAGTACAGATAGAAAATTGAAGCGCAAGTAGTTAGGCTGTCAAACTCTTCATCAGTGATTTAGAATCTTAAAAGAAAATACCAAATAGTTTAAGTCCAAAAAGTGAATTTCTGTTGTTAACTTTGGACCTAACTTCCCAGAAGTAAATCTCCTGTCTTCCCTCTGGCAGAAAGCTCAGGACTATGGCTACGATCAGTCCTTGATGGCACGCCTGCACAGACACCTGGAAGCACAGGTGCAGCAGAATGTTTTAAGAAATCTGCCAGTTGTGCAGCTGACTGTGCAGTACAGGATGCACCCTGACATCTGCCTCTTCCCATCCAATTACGTTTATGGCAGGACTCTGAAGACTGACAAGTGAGTAGCGCGCTGTTCTGCTTTCTGAGCCGGGGAATATTTCAAAGAAAGATTTTTCACATCAGGATGTTCTTCTGCGTCTAAAAATTCTTGTGGTTGTGGGAGAAGATGCTTAATGGGACAAGACTTATGCACCTTCTCCTGTTAATGCTGGCTATGAAGCATGAATTAACTAGATCACTTAAGACTGAACAGATTCCTTATTGCACAGAGTTCCATCTCAGGCCTCAGTATACACAGATAACAAAAAGGTGAAAAGCAGGGACTCTGGCGGGGGGGGAGATGTTGAAAGTTGCTTGTGTCTAATAACCATGGTGTAAATAAATGCTGTATCGGTTCTTAGAATTTTTTTAGGTTACCTAGTGATATCAGTGTTATTTACAGAGCAACTGAAGAGAACAGATGTTCTTCAGAATGGCCATTCCAGCCTTACCTCATCTTTGATGTAGGAGATGGTCATGAGGAGAGAGACAATGAGTAAGTCCTGTATTCTGCTCTACCAGATCTTAGACATGGTAATAATTAATTGCCTGCAGAAGAATCTTTTGCTTTTATTCTTCACCGTATGCGGCAAAGAGCCAGACCTCATTTTTGGCTAGACTTGATTTAATTATCTGGAAGGCTGCTTTACTGAAAGCAGGTGTTAAGTGTGTGTGTGGTTTGGTTTTCTGTTCTTATTTTGGTTTTGTGCGTGTAACTGGTTTTAATCTTGTTTCAACTATCTGCTAGGTGCCAGTGTATGCCGTCAGTCTGTGCTAACTCTAATACTGCTTGAGTGCCTGATTTCTGCCTGTGCCCCCCTTCTTAGCGGCTTGCTTTTCACAGCTGCGTTCTGAGATGATGCCGGAAGAGGGCAGGCTCAGTCTTCCCCTTCATATCTTCTCTAAGGGAAAGCCAAGTTATGGAGCTCTGAAGGAACCTGTAGGGCAGGCTTTCAGTGCAGATGTTTTTCATTGCTGCTAATCCCTTGCCAGGACCTGTTTCAAAGTACTTTAAGCATCTGTGTGAAAGAGGCTGTAAAAGCTTAAAACATGGACTTTGACTCACAGTCCCCCTTCAAACTGGGTTGAAGTGTTTAGTTGGAAAGAGTTATCAAGCATGTGTTTCTTTAATGTTTTTCTTCCTTTCTGTCTTGTTCAGCTCTTTTCATAATCCCCAGGAAGTTAAGCTGGTGATGGAATTAATTAAAACAATTAAAGGAAAAAGGAAAGATCTTGGTCTTCGTCACATTGGAGTAATTACCCCTTACAGTGCACAGAAAAAGAAAATTCAAGAAGAACTAGACAGAGTGTTTAAGAACAACAGGTAAAGAAACTCCTGAAGTTTCAAATAGAACTTCTTCTCTTGCATGTTAGTCCTTTATTTATCCTCTTAAAATTGGAGCAAAACCTCTCAAACTTCTTTCTGTACTGCCAAAATCTGTACTTAATCACGTCTTTAACAGGCGACGTCCAAGTCTTTTTCTCTAAAAACAAGCCTTTTGAATCTTAGCTGTTGCTTGTGTACAAGCTCCGATTATGTTGCTATTCTGAAAAAAAGCTTATTTACAGATAAACTGAAGTGATTCCCAAGCTACATGGAACTGAACAGCTTTTTAACAGTGATCTTGGCCTCAGAAAAGGCCAAGAAAGTTGCCAAAAGAAAATTTTGCTTTAGATTCATGTATCGAATCTTTCCACGTGTGCAAGCAGAAGCTTACCCCGGACTATTTTGGCAGTTGATCATTCAGGATGCTGTTTAGACCATTTATGTCAGCGTGTTGCTTAAAGTTTCAACTACCGTAGTTTAGTGGCTGCTAATTCTTTCTTTACCAGCTCAGGGGAGGTGGACACGGTGGATGCGTTCCAGGGGCGAGAGAAAGACTGCATCATAGTGACGTGCGTCCGAGCGAACAGCACTAAAGGGTCAATTGGGTATGTTTGTCTTGAGTGATTAGCAAGTCCTGTTTACACTGACACTCTAGATATAGTCATTATATTCTGAATATTAACAGTAAAAAAGTTACTAGAGATCAAATCACCACAGCTAGCAAATTAAGAAGTATCATAAACCAGTAACATCAGCTCATGCATTGAGATCTTTGAACAAAAGGTACATGGAAATGCTAAGTATTGTGTTCTTCCACAATGCGTACTGATGCATTTGCTTGGTTGTTTTAGCCCATCCTTATTTCAGTTTGGCAGGATTGGTCTTGGGAACTTGGCTCTTTATGTTAGTGCTGCAGCAGTTATTCTCCTTATAGCTTTTTGATATACTGTAACTTTCTGAATGCTGTTCTTCTAAAATAATTTTTTTTTTTTTTTGTGACTATCACTATCCTATTAATATAGTACTCTCTCTATAAAAGTACTGCTAAATAGTTGCATGCCTTGTTAGGGATCTGATTGGTTTGTTCTTGGATCAATGCGATCCCTTTTGAGGGATGAGGAAGTTCACAGAAACTCTTGTCTCTAGATCACAACTTCGATAATTGTGTATAAAGTTTTCCCTTTCAAAACAGAAGCAACTAGACATCGGATGTGCTGTTACCACCAAACCATTACAACAATTCGGTTAGTTTGCTTTATTAATCATCTCTGTCATAAAGGCGACAGTTTAAAAAAAAAAAAGGTGTTGGAAACGAGCCTTCCTGCAGTTCATTGTCTTTTCAGTTAGTCTCTGAGGAGGCTGTCCACAGACAGATTTCTTTGTTTCCACCCGCAAAATTTCACAATTTATGTTTCTTTCATACTGATTTTCTAATTGCTAGATGAAGGGCTTTTAATTGTACTGACCTGTGCTACTTTGGGAAGGGAAAAGACCATTTTTCCATTGAAATCTTACAGTAAACACTAAGGATGCATAGGGGGATTTTTTAATCTAGTTGATTCAGTTTGGAAACTGAAAGCAGCTATAACCTGCCTGTGCTTTTGGCTGGCATGTGATTTAACCTCTCTTTGTTCTTTTGGAAGAATACTTTATAAGTTATTGTGTTGCCAAAGCTTTATTGTATAAGCTTCAATGTGATGCCTTATAGGTTGTACATACTGATGACTTGGGTGTCTGTTTCAAGGTCAGGCTTCACTGACAAGCTGTGATGGCAAATTCTGCATCACCACTACCTCTAATCTCATAGTTGAGCAAAGTATTTTAGTCTCCAGGATTGCTAGTCCAGCATTAAATTTACTCCAAATGCAACTTAAAAAAAGAGAAGAAAACTGTCCAAGAAACGATAGCTAAAGGATTTTTTTTTTCCTTTCCTGAGAAAATGCATCTTGTCTTCCTTCAATTTTAAAAGCTGTTAGGAATATTTAGTAGTCTTTCATCTTCTTTTCAATAACAGAACTATAACATCTGTACTGTTTGGATCCGCTCCCCTGCTCAGCTTCTTGACTTCACCTTTTTTACTGCGTTGCCCAAATTGTCTGAGATGGTTCTGGGGCTTTTGCGGTCTTTACTACAGGTGTGGTGAGATTGTTGAAAAGCAGGTTTCAGTGCTGTGGCCACAATAGGACTCATTGATGTTGGACCTGTTTCAAATTAAATTGCAAGAAGACTTGACTTTTTTGTCTTGCTAGCTTCATTAGGATAGAAAAGCACCGCTCTTTGGGAGCGTTTTCATTAGAGAAGAAATGGTGGATATGGTTTTGCAGAGCTTTTTTTCTCCAAAGGTTTTTTTGGGGAGTTTTGTTGAACAAGTGTTAACAGAAATCAACCTTTAAGCAGTAGTGAAGCACTTATTTGTTTAGGTTTTAATGCCTTGTTTTTTGATCCCACAGAAACAGTCTAGATGTGGTCTGATATTTGTAATATGAGAACTTTCTTTTGCAAGAAATATGCTTTTCAGAACTTAAAACATGACAAAGCAAAAGCAAAAATACTGTATTCTTCTAGTGCAGGTTGCCTTTAGAATAAGTAAAATATTCAAGTCCAGCATTCAGTATCTCAGTAGAAAGTTTTCCTGTTAATCATATCAAATATTCATCTGTTTCAGTTCAAGTCAAAAAGAAGCTTGAAGTCTTGATAGGTAAAGTGAGTTCGAGATCTCCTATACATGAGTGTGTACAGGCAGGAGGAGTATGGCTTTGCGGAACAGTAAGGAAGCAGTGATCAGCATTAAGAAGGGATTTGCAGTAAGAGAGGAAGTAACAGTGGCAAGAGCTAGAAAGGTCTGGAGTTCCCTGCAGGGAATCGGAGCGGTGAAAGGAACACGCTTCACCCAAAGCCCTTCACTGGCGTTTGGGAATGGGTGATGAACAGTTGTCTTTTTAACTACTTGTGCTATCTTTGTTTCACTGATAAACTGACTGTTACCTTCCTTTCTTCTGAGACCTAAATATCATAAGAAGCAGTTTAGGAACTTAGTTTTGTCTCGTCGCTTAGGTTTCTGGCAAGTCTTCAGCGTCTGAACGTTACAATTACCCGGGCCAGATTCAGCCTCTTCATTCTCGGAAGACTAAAAACACTCATGGTAGGTGCAGTATTAAATCTAATGATCCTTTGTGTGATCCACTCTTTTAGGCCAGGTCGGGGTGAGCAAGTGAAAACCATCCTCAGACCACTCTAGTCAGTGAAAAGGGAACCTTTAAGTGTGTTGCTCAATTAGAGCAATGGAAGGCTTGCCTATGATTCTCACAGCTTAAAAAAAAGTGTGTATTCCTTGCTTCCAAGGAGGAAAGTTAGAAATGGCTCTCCTGATGTTTTTAGCTATGAAATTATAACACAGTACTTTTAAATTAGAGGATGGGGAGTGCAAAAATCTCTCTACAGGTAAGATAGGATGGTGGCAAGGATGCTCTCCTGCTTGGTTGTTTTTTTTTTTTTTTTAACTGCTCCTCTACTTCCAGTTGTTGTAGTTGTCATAGGATATTTGAGCAAGAAAAATGATTGATTTAAAAAAAAAAAAAAAAGACCCACCCTGCCCTGATTTCCAGATTGTGTGCTTGACACTACGTAGTCATATGATTTCTCAGGATAGTTGTATTCTGAAACAGGTGTTTCTGAAACAGAACTACAGATCTGGAGAACTCTAAGGGCCCACCGAGTGGGCAGGGAGGGCTCTAGAGCAGACTTAATGTTTGAACGGTAATTCACTTATACTCATTGTCAGTGGCAGGGTGGAGGAGTGTTTGTTAGCTACACCACTAGAGGGCATTGAAACCATATTCCTGTTGCACTCACGTTGCATTTATGAAGGCCGGAAGAGAAGCCCATACAAGAGTTACCATTTTAAATAGTAGATCACTGATGGCTGAAAGTTACAGCAGCCAGAGTGCCTACTGCTGTTTTGCTTTCAAGTGGAACTTAATCCTTCTGGAATGAAAGATTTTACAACAATGGTTCCCATGACAATTGGGTTAGGTACCTTGAGTAAAAGAGAGGTATGCATCCTCTAGCACCTCTGTTTGTATGTGCTGATTTCCTTCTGGTAACTGTTTTCTCTTGTGTGGTGGGGAATATCTTCTTTTTTTTTTCTTTCTCTCCTCCCTTTCTCCTTTTTTTAAAGGAAAATAAAGACTGGAATGAGTTGATTCAGGATGCTCAAAGAAGAGGTGCTATTATCAAGACATCAGACAAAAGCTACAAGCAGGATGCTGCTAAGATTCTGAAGCTCAAGCCAACAGTACAGAAACCCCCCTGCCAGCCCCCCGCCAAGGCAGGGGCAAATAAAGCTCCTCCAGTGCAGGCTCATTCCTCTAGTAGCAGGAGAGGTGAGCTCACCAATCTGAGGGAGGCCAGCAATACACGGGAACTCTCTGCTGGTGCTGGCCCTGGCCCTGCAGCACCACAAGGAAGCAGAGGTCTCCAGCAACCACAGAGGACTCAGGCTGCAGACTCCAGGAGAGCCCCTGATTCCACACCAGTGGAGGCTGCAGCACAGCCTGGTGATCGAGAGAAACCACGGGACCCAAGGCTGGCTAATAGAACAGAGACAAAAGGGAAGGAGCAGGCCTCAAAAGACAGCAACCGGTCAGCCCAGAGCAATCTGGGAGCAACATCACAGCAGGGCCCGGAAGTATCCTCAGCTATCAGGGATCAGATTTCCAAAACGGAAACCTCTAAGAAGCCCCAACCTAAGAAGCCCCAACAAAGGACGGGACGATCTGATGTGCCTTCCACGTCATCTTATGCAGCTCAGCGAGAGAGTGACCGGAGAGCTGCTTTATCAAAAAATGATTCAAAAGCCATTAGTGGAGGAGGTCAAAGTAGTAGCAGTAAGTGGAGCAAATACAAAGACTATCGTTTTGTAGCCAGGAGAGCACCAGATGAATCACCAGAGAGCAAAGACTCAAACAGCGCCAAGCGAAGAAAGACCTTTCACTGACTGCAATATCTTCAGTATTGGCTCATTACTCAAAATCCGTCCCCAGATTTCTGTCTAGCAAAGACTTTATTTTAAAATATTTCATACACCTGGAACTCCCTTATTTTGATACTTTCAGAATCAGTAGATTGATCTCTTTCCCATCCTGTCACTAACTGCAAAAAGACTTTATACCTGATGATTGATAGCTTTGAGCTTTTGGACAGAAAAGTTAGGTAGCTACGTTGCTTGGAAAGGCAGTAAATTTTGTCATCTAGGAAGTCAAGATTGTAAATGTTTACTGATGTATATTTGTACAGTACAAAATTATTTTAAGATTTAATTTGGCAAGTATATAGCTTCTTGTTTCCTTGTGCAAATGCTAATTTCATAGTGATGCAATTTTTTTATGAAGAACCCAAGCAAAGCAAACAAAAAAAAAAATCCAGCCAGACTTCTTTTTCCCTTTGTCCTAGTAAATCTAATTTATTTGATAGCAAACAACGAATTTTGAAAAGGTGGTAGTAGTAGAGATTCTTCCTTGTGTTCTCTTTGTGCCTCAAGGAAGACTGAGGGCAGATGAACATAGGTTGAATGGAGAAAATTCTGCTTATTTTGTATATTTTATTGCCTGTTTTTTATAGGAACAAAAGAGCTTATGTTTATACAAATGTGCCTTGAGTTTTGTTCTTGCTGCTGCTTCATCAGCTGGAATCCTTTGTCTTGTTGCAGTGGTGGTACAAACTGTGGATTAAAGCCTGTGAGGTGTGTTTGGGCCTGATGAGTCCATGTGATGAGTAATCAGCAGGACTGTGGAATCTCAGTCAAAGATCTAGTTAATGCTTAATGATAATGACACTTGAATTCCTTTGTATAGAGCTCTTAGAGATCTACAGAGATAAAAAGGGCAAGCAGTTAGTTCTCGGTGTTATTACTGGATTCTGTTCACTGTTGATGTAGAACACATGACCAGTGAAGGAGCAGGAAGGGAAACTGTTGTAACTATTTTTAAGAAAGCCATAGTATTGGCTTTAAGAAAGCCATAACATCTCACTGTAACACTTCCATAATCAAAATGGATTTATTTATAGTAAAAATGCCTTTAGGTGACTGAAGCAGTGCTTTTCCTTTCCAGAGTACAACACATCTGTCTCAAGCCAGTGACTAGCAGCATTTCCTGTGCACACTGTTTTGCATGGAGAGAGTCTAGCATGCTTCTGCTTGAGAATTCAGCACCCTTCTATATTAATGCAAGTTGGGTGTACTGTGTGCAGGCCAGACTGCTCTCTCCATGCATCTGTGTTAAAATGCAGCCTGTTATGACCCAGGCAGTATCCTCTCATCCCTTGCTGACTCTGACTTGAGAAGGGATGTTAGTGGTATGCCTTTTTATGCTGTGGCCTAATGCTTTTAAGGAACAGAAAGAAGCCATCAATCTTACTTTTGTGTGTGGACTCTGGTAAGTTTTGAGTGAATTATACACCCGAAAATCAAGAACTGTCACACAATTGGGGGTCAGGTTCTGGTATGCTGACCTGCTCAATAACTTATGCTTAACCACTACATGAGGGTGTCTTGGTTTCATGACTGTGGAGGAGCTGCCAAACTTCTCTGGCCAGAATTTAACTGTTATCTTTAACTGTGTTTCTGTCCTGACACATTCATTGCAATGATTAGTGTTAGCTTTGTTCTTTTAACCAACTGACAAATAGATGTGTGTGATACACGATGTGCGTGATACACTTCAGCAAAATACAGATGGCTTACTGTACAAAAAAAAAGGTAGCAGTTTAAACTAATGGTAATTGCCAGCATAACTTACAAGTTTAATGTATCCAAGCACAGAACAGATGTGTGTGTGTGGTTTTTTTTTTTTTTTTTTTTTCTCGTGACAACTGCGTAGTAGGTAAGTTGGAAGGCTTTTATTAACTGGTTGTGCCTGTCCTGCTCACAGTGCTATGGTATGAAGAATTTAAGATAATAGGAGAAAATTCTGACCTTCGAGATGCTCTTGAAGTGAATTCAGTACATGGTGAGGTGTTTAAGAATTACACTTTGGGCCCGAAGCTTTAGTTTATGTTGCAATCTTAATTGCTTCACTGAACCCTGACCCTCTCTTGTCAGCAGGATATGCACCTCAAAGACTGCTGTGACTGTTCCTTATGTTATGCACCTTGTGTGAGAAGGAAGGTGGTTTGAATTAATCTTATTGTCATGAATTGGACGTTGCTGTCACTCCCAGGTCACAGAATCCATGCCTTATGTGTTATCTCCCCTCATGTTAATAGGAATACTTACAAATACTATCTCATGTAAAGCTCTTGGCTCTTCTGGTCACTGCTATGTCAGCTTACCTGCTGTTTCTACTTAGCACATTAAAAAGGCTGCTACTCTGCAGACTGCTGTAAGATCCTCTAGCTACGGCGGAGGCCCTGTAGTCTAGATTTATATAAATAAAGTGAAGGCAGCAACAGTGTGAATGAAGAAACGGTTTTCTGGCCGTTAAATAGAACTTTGTCAAGGAAATGTGTTTCAAAAACTTCCCTCCTCGTTTCCTTTCCGCTTAATTTGCGTTTCAGAATATGCGTTTCTCTTGAATTAATTTACCGCGTGCTGGAAGGAATTTTGTTTCAACGTTTCGTTTCCTTTGTATTATGTGCACAAAACATAGGTCTTGTAATTTTATAATTCCTGTATTTTTTTGATAAAAACATCTTTTATAAGGAATGGTCAGTGGCTCAAGCTTTTTTTTCCTTTTTCTTTTTCTCCCCTCCCCCCGCCAGTTTAATACTAGGTATGTTTTTTCTGACTTAGCTGTCTTTCAGCAGTAGCTTATTCCTAGCATATCAGTCTGTACTGTTACTGTTGTTCTCTTGAATAAAAATCTTTGGGTTGTTTGCACTTGGAACACTTCTCTCTCTTCACATATAACTCAGAGTAGGTTTGTAGTTTTAATTCACTTTCCCCTTTATACCTTGGTCAAGCAGGTAGGTAAACTGAACTCCAAAGCATGTTTCTCATTGATTCAAGTGAGATCTGCACTGGAGTACAAACAGATACAGTACAATGTTGATAGCTTCTCCTCTGCTGTTTTCATTTTGTGTTTATATAATACCATCCTGCGTGCTAACGGACAGTCATATTGGTAAGCTGTGAGTGTAGATCTGCTTTATTTATTCCTACTTATTGTCTCTGAACTAGTGAAAGTCGGGGAGTTGTTCAGTGATTCTTTTTTGCTAAATTCCGTGGGAGGCAAAAAAATCAGTAAATAGCACGGAACTTGATGTAAAACAATTTAATTGTGTGCTAAAAAAGCTCTGGAATAAGAAGCATTCAGGTTTTCACACAAAGGCTTTCATTTTTCCAGGCTTGGCAGCTTAATTCTCAGTGCGAAAATGGTTCCTTATGGGGTACTACTAGTCACTTTATGCCATTAAGATGGGAAATTTTTTTTGTAAACATTGGACTATAATTGTGTTCAGAGCTTGGGTTTTCTGTGTGTGGTTTTTGTTGTATTTTTTTTCTTCTTCTCTGTTTAAGCCTTTTGGTGGTACACAGACTAGGTGGCTTTCTAGCAGAGGTGAAGTATCGTTCTGTTCGTTCCTTTCTCCTTTAAGGTTTACCCTAATTGATTTCCATATCATTACTCCAAACTATGGACATGTGAGAATAAACCAGAGTTGTATGTATAATGATGACATGCAGTTACTTGCCTGGTTAGATTTTTTTCTTATCTGTGTTTCACTGTACATGCCCTATGGTATAGGGTGCTGGTTTAAATAATGGTAACTTGATCAGTCTGCTGAGCAGCCAGAAGAAAAGGAGCAGTTTGCAGTAGCAAAAACCCACTTTGGGAAGCATAGTAGGGAGGGCTTTTTGTGTCTTTAGGTGGTGGTAGCAGTTGCAAATTGCCCAAGTAATGCTGAGAGATGATGTCTTTTTGTGTTGTGAACAGTAGTTGAGAGCTGTGAAATGCTGCTGAGAGGAGGTCTAAGCACACCTGAGAACACCAGCATCTCCCCCCAGTCTCTTGCTACCCTCTCCGTTGCAGTGCTGGTAGTGTCGGGGAGGGGATGCCTTTCTTCCATACTGCCGTGTAGATAAGCTGAGGGCAGTGACTAGGTAGCAGCTGGGTCCAGTGGAAGGAGGCACAGGAGCTGGAGATCGAGTTGGGCATGTGTGGGCTGTGTGCAGGTTGGCTTAGTCTCCTCCCCTTGCTAGTCCGTAAAATAGAAATAACCTCCAACCTTTCTATACTGATCCTACAGAAGTACTGAGCGGTGTGTCTTTCCAGAGCAAGAAAGACGTAGTGACAGAACGTGTACTGATTAAGGGAAAACAATGTTTTTAGGCCCAGGTGGGATCCAAAAAGCAACATGGAAAAAGTGATTTCAGAGTTGGGACTTTTTTGCAGTTACTGAAGTGTGGTGACATGCTGCAGTTCCTTTTGAACATACAAGAGGAGAGACTGAAGTGGCCAACAGCTGAAGGTGGGTTGTTCATTCACAGGCTATTGACTGTAGCAATACTAAGGATAAGCAGAACCATGGACCTAAAAATGTAAGATGTTTTCTCTCGTCTGCATGAATAAATGATGAATGAAATGACTGCTGTATTGTAAATGGAATTTATAATGTTAACAATATAATACAATCTCTTGCCACAATGGGTCCATTTCCAAGTCATGTATAAGGTCTCCTTGTCTCTTTAAAATGTTTGGAAAGGAGCCCAATGTGTTGTTATTCAGTACAAATAAGTGTAAGCTAGCAGTCTTGCACACTGAATATTGCTGATATATGACACCTCCTAGGCATATGTAGCTGTCTGCTAAGGCCTCGACTAATTTTCCATTAACTCCCAGGCAAATAGTGAGTGATGGAAATGAAGGTATTTTGAGTGCATGTTACATTTGGTACTGTGAAAATGTAAACAAACAAACAAAAAAACCCCCCTTGTTTTATAGCCTGACAGGCTACGCTAATGTGACTGTCCAATTTTCCAGATTTCACTGTTGTATCAAGTAAGAGCTCCTTTCTTTAGTGCTAAGAAATCAATGTCCTTTCTTATTTTAATCGCCGAAATACTGTGGAGAGGAGTAGGGATGGAGGTGATGCAACCTAGTGTTGTTGCTACCCAGGAGAGAACACAGCTAAGTGGCCAAACCAGGTGTTTCTTCCCATGTTTCACCCTGCAGTGGCACTTCTTAACGATACCTAGGCAATCCAAATGATAGAGAGGCCTTTAGGACAGTTTGGAAGCTCTCCTGGAGTGTGCCATTTTCACATGGTTTCTGCGCAATAGTGGCCAAACACTCCAAATCCCTGCCAGAAGGACTCCAAGAAGATGGTGATATAAATGAGTGGAGTTGGGTTCTGCAAATATTTCTGGCAGTAACACTCTGCTCCTCTTCTTTGTTACTTATATTTGGGACTTTTCATGGATGTCAGTTACAGTACAGAACTGGTTGGCGGGACCATTTATTACAATGCCAATCGTGTGTCTGCACAGGGCTCTTCAAGAATCACTCCTGCAGATGAGATGTCTGCTTTCCGAATCCTTAAAAAACAAAGAACGTACCCAGGTTGTGCCAACGGCCTGTGATATTTTTTCCTCCTCCTTTTGTCTCAGCTCACAAGGGCTGCAGGCTTAACGTTTCATCTGATGAGTGAGCAAATACGCATAAAGCCAGACTACTGTTGACTTCTCTGCAGCTGGGACTGTGGACTCGCCCTGGCCGCAGCAGGCAGGAGACTGTGGACTTTTGAGTACATAGATCTGACAGAACTCTAAATAGTTAACATCGGAGTCAAATTGGAAGTAAATAAGAAAAATCAAAAGCTCTACCTGTATTGTTTGAAGAGGTTGCTGGGTTTTGTGGAGAGAAGTATAATTTAAAAACTTCTTCAAATGAGTCAAATGCTGGCTGTGTGCAGGCGGGGGGATAGGCATGAAAACCTCTTGAAAGAACACAAGTGGCTTTTCTCGGAAAGACAAGTACCTTTCGGTTAACTTTTCCTCGAATAAAGCATCAAGCTCATTGGGTACCGCCTCCCATTTAAAAGCATTAGCTGATGCACAAATGTCTTCAGCTTAAAGAAGATGAACTTTTGGATCTGCAGGCACTTCTGGGAGGGTTTCTTTCTGCATTTTTTCAGTAATGCTGTAGGCTCTTTGTGTAGATGCCTGTGTGCTAAACAGATGTCTGCAGTTAATGGGCCTTCAGCACTGAAGTTTTCAGTAGCTTTCAATTTTTTTCTTAAATACCAAATTTAAGGTTTCTGTGGCATTTGTCTGTCTTGGGGTGGTTACTGTTGCTTGATTGCAAATTCTCCAGCACTATTGGACTGGTGAAGTGGTATCCCAAATTGGAAGAAGCAGGGTTAGCTTTGTATCGGAGCTTGAAGGTGAGATCTACTGCCAGAGCTGTAAAGGACTTTAACTAGAGGAGTCTTTAAAATTCACTCTTTTGACTTTGCTCTTGCTCATTGTCAATAGGCCATTTAATTTCTTCTGGGAGATGAAGCATGTTGTGTTTGCCCTTTGCAATTACAATTTTACAGAGGTGTTTGCTTTTGCACAGCTAGTAAGAGCTGAAGAATGGTGCAAGTAGTGTAGTATTGGGGGGGGGGAAGGGGACTTGTGTTTTCCTCTCATATCTTTTTTAGCATTTTTCAGGTGTGGTGCTAATTCTCCTGCAGCTACACCGAAGGCCAGCTTCCTACTTCTGGTTGCAGTCACAGAACTATTTATTACGCTTTGGTCAAAGAAGGCCAGGGACTGAACCTTACTGTGGCAATGGGTGTTCATGAGGATGCTGAAGACTAATTTCTTTCAAATAAATAAATCCCTCAACGAAGTTCAAAAAAACCCACCCTGAAAGGTCTAGTTTTAGCTGTTGTGAGCTTTGTTGCGCTTCTCTGTGGTTATTTGCCACGGGAACTCTGCGCTGCTCCGGCTGCTTGGAACGGTCTCACTGCGTCGCATTAAAAGCAGGCCTTTGCAGGGAGTCTGCTGGCTGCGGTGTTTGTCTGGGATACGGCTTTATGAAGCAGTAAATTTTCTGTTGCTTAATCTAATTTACTAGAGAAAAACACTAGTGCTGGGAAAGGAGAATGTGTATTTCACCTTCCAGAAGTGCCATTAGATATCTTGGATCTTGTTACAGACTATTCTGTGCTGTTACTTATAAGAACAGTAACCTATGAGGGTTTTAAATGCATCTCGGTGAGAAAGTACAAAGAAAGAGCAAGTGTCAATGACAACGGACAGCAACTGACTGCCTTAAAGAAAGGGAGGAAACAGTAGTGTCAGCCCACTGCCTCAATGATCAAATCTCAGCAGGGTGACTTTAACCCTCATTTCTTTAGTTACTTCATCACAAAGTCCTGTGACCTTCCTCTGTGATGTTAAATGCAGAGGTCTCGCCTGCTCAACATATGTACCCCCTTTTCTTTGTGACGTGTTGACAGGAGAGTGTCTGCCCTATACCTTTCATTCCAATTTTCTTCTCCTTTTGTAAAGTACTAGTTCACTGCCCCCATCCCCACAGAGGATGCACGCGGTTTCTGCAGTGTCAGGCTCAAAGAGGCTGCAGGCTCTTGGACCTTTGAACCTTGGGCTGCTCCTAGCATGAGCCCCAGCTGAAAGATATGTGCTGTAGGTCCCGGGAGTTCCTAGAGAACAGAGCACTGAAGCAGAAGGGCCATTGCTAGACAAGCTGTTGTGGTGGCACTCTGGGTAAAGACAGCAGCCCTGGAAATGCTGGTGGAGGGCTCAAGCCTGGATTGCACAGAGCAGGCTGGAGCCCATGGTGGCAGTACCTGAGGGCTGCTCCCTTGTCAAGAAAATTACAGCAGAAGTGAAAGCGTGGTGGGGGTGTCTCGGGTCCTTTTAATTCTCCGCCAAATCAGCTCCTGCCTGAGTGAGTAACTCTTTGGCCTATGGAGTTAAAGCTCTCGAGTTGGATGGAAGGTTCCAATTGTCCTGAGTTTGAGTTATATGATTTAGTCTCTGGTTTCTCCTGCCTTCTTTCATGTGCTTGATTGCAAACACTTCCTCTGCTTGCAGCATGTTCATGAGCTTTAAATGAGTTAGTCTGGTCCTTCCACGTTCTTTAAGCAGCCACAGCCTGGGACTTCAATAAAGATATTGAGAACAGACAACTTCTGCAAAGGTTTGATGTGACACCAGATCTGTGGGGTGCAATGGGTTCGGACAGCTGAGGTCCCCTTAGAGAAGCATCCCTGGACTATGCAGCCTTCTCTTGCTGCAGCCGCCTTTGGAAATGGCATTTTGAGACAAGATCAATGCTTAATATATTATCCACGCTTTGTTAATTGTCTACAGGTACCAGTCTAACCTAAGTTCAATACAGTAATTAGGAGAAATAATTAACACTTCGCAGTGATGAAACAACCTCTCTCCCCTCCCCTTGTGGTATACCTTGGTAGTGACTCAGAAAACACAAGAGGACATTATCAATCAAAAAATAAGTCTTTACCTGTAATTAACTGTGCACACAAAAAGGAAAACGTGGTGATCAAGCAGCAATTAATAGTTGCTTTACTGTAGGAGGATACAGCATAATCAAATGCTCATGGCAAAACGTCCCTTTACGTAGTGGCTCTTCTATAACATTTAATCCAAATAAAAATAAGTTTCTACTCAAGAAGTATTTGAACCGTACACTATACGGAAATGTGTGGATAAGACACTGCACTCCTCGCCTACCATGTGCCTGCTGGCCCCTAGGTTCTCCTCAAGTGTAAGGAAAGAAAACCCAGCAATGAAAACACAAAATCAATGCAGCAACTAGAGTTGTAGGCAACAGTAGGTGTAGGGCCGGGCCAGGCCAGGCCACCGGTGGGATGGGGGACAATGCAGCAAGGATGGACCACAAAGTCCCCTCTTCCCTCCTTCCCCTTCCCCTATCCGTTACGGGGCTCTGGAGTTATGATAGGCTCTTACAAAACAGGACTCTAAAGGGGCAGCGGTGGGGGGAAACAGCCTATACCAAAATAAATAATAATAAAAAAAATATCCCTT